GCTGTATGTCATCTTTAAGATGATATACATGAAAGAAAATCGTTTGGAGAATAAACATGGAGAAAACAGCTCGGAGAAACATCATGGAGATATATGAAGGTTGGGGAATATTTAGAAAAATATTAAAGCGTGACTTAGCTTTAGACAGATCGTCTGATCGGCGGCGTATGACGTTATCTAGTCGGCGAATTTGACCCTTAGGGCATCCTAATGGATGGTGGCCGTATCCCCTAGAGTTCCCCGATCTGCTTCCGATAGATCGGAACCGGAAGGTGGTCGGCATCGAACCGGAGTGGTCAGAGCCGATTCCGTGAGGGAGAGGCAGTCGGCGAGCATCTAGCTGACCTGATCGATGGATGCGATCAGATCATCGTTGCCGACCTGCTTCCTCAAGTAGTGGGGCAGCAGGCGGCGAGTTGTTGGTGAAGACAACCTCGGAGGCGGTTCCGGGATCGGATCTACTGTTGCAGGCGTTGGTGTGGTCGGCGTAGAATCGATCTGCACTGGCTTGAAGATCTCTCCGTCTTTGTCAGCATCGATGACCCAAGAGATCGATCCGACCGTAAAGATCTGGCCGGGCTTTGGAGAGGACGAAGAGCCTGAAAAGTGTACCATCTTATTCGTCATGGAAACAGCACGCACACCCCTACCTAGCGCGCCAACTGTCGATGGAATATCGTCGGCAGTCCTCCAAGGGGTATCCCACGAAGGTAGATTGATCGGCAGAGGTGCGTGTAATCAAGAACAAGAAGGCAACAGAGACACAAGAGTTAGACAGGTTCGGGCTGTCTGCACGACGTAATACCCTACTCCTGTGGTCTGTTGGTTTGTATTGACTATCGTATGATATTGCGTGTGTGATTGGATGTGGGATGGGGCATGCTGACTAGGGGACCCCGGCCCCTTTTTATATACTCTGGAGGGGTAGGGTTATAAGGAAAGTATTCTAGTCGATTATATGGTAAGTATTAGATTATAATATCTGTAGTATCCGATCAAATCTTCTAGATGTCTTGCAGTGTACGCCGAGCAGTGCCGTGCGCCGCAAGTCTTGAATCTTGTGGGTTGAACCGTCCCTGACCGTGCAGCCCATGTCCCTTGCCGTGGGTACCTAGGGTTATACCCCCCACAGAGGCTACAACCTCCTCCACCATCGGGTCCTCCGAGACTTCACGTGTGGCGTGCGTGGCGTCTGGACATGGTGAGAGCAACAACGGGTCGAGGTCGGAGAAACACCAAATCTAGCGTGTCTCGCTGGTCGGCCCGCCATGACCATCACGGGCAGCACTGTCGGTGGCGACAGTGGAGACCGTTGCCGCAGCGGTGCCGTCCCGCTTGAGCCATCGTCGATGCCTCCGACGTCTCCGACGTCGGCCCCCGCCATCGCCGTGCGCAACCGCACCCGGCACAGCTCTAGCCGAGCTCGGCGTGTCGCTCTTGAGTGCACAAGGGGTCACAGCAACCCTGGGCACAGTGTCGGGCAGGTGGCCGGGTGCCCGAGGTACGCTCCTGGTCAAGCTATCGTCGCTAGCCTTTCATGGCTTTAGATGCGTCAGAGCTAGAAGGAGGCACCGTCCGCCCGCTACTTGCAGTCCCGCGTGAGGTGTCGGAACCCCTTGCATCGGAGGCAGCGTGGAGACAGCTTGCAGGTTGCCACCCTGTGTGTGGAGGAGAGACAGTTGAAGCACTTTCCGTGTAGGTCCGCCAGAAAGCGGGAAGGGGGCTGCCGGTTCGCCGAAGATGCAGCGCGGGCGGGGCGTTCCCCACCGGCGCCGCATGACGACCCCTACGACAGGACCTCACACTAGCCGTCAGCATCCGGAGCAGAGATGTGCTGGTGGGCGCCGCAGCGCGGACCGAGCCACATGTGAGCCGGCGTTTTGTTTCAAAACCTCTCCCCTTTAGCAAATCTTGTATGCTTTGACCTTGACAGAATTTCAACATAGTGTTCAGGTCGGCAATCATGTGCTGTAGTTCCTCTCAAAAAAGAGTTAACAGTGTTGAGATTAGTCAAAAGAAAAATGAAAACCAAGAACCACCTGAAAAAGAAGCAGACTCTATGCCATATAAATCATCACAGCCTTTTTCAATCTACTAACCATCTTGTAATCATAGTGTTTCCCCAGTGGACCTCTCTCCTTGCTTGACAGGTACTTTCCATTCAATGCTTTTCACACTGGTAATATAATTGCTTTCTTTATTTTTTGTTGTATTTGTGCTCGATGAGCATCATGCATTCACGTAAATGGGATCACTGAAGATATATATACTCCCGCCATTGCAATTATAAGTCACTTTAGTTTTGTCCTAAGTTAACTTTCTTTAATTTTTAACCAAATTTTTAGAATTTTTTTTTCGATAAGGGAAGCTTTATTAATTTCAAGATCATTACATCGAGATGATACAAAAACTTCTTAGCGTCTACAATACCAAATAAATGCACTATCCAGACATATTCCATAGTAGATTTAATAAAACTTATTTGACATTGTATATGTTGGTAATTATAGAAGTTTGACTTAGGATGGAGCTAAAATGATCTATAATTTTGATGGGAGGGGTTTCTTGACACCTTAGGCTAAATAGCCGCACTAGCACTGCTACATTGCAGACTACAGAGGCCTTGAGATTTCAAGCTGTATTTATAATTGACGGTGCAGGCTAAGCAACTGATGTTGTTTGATAGTAACAGCAAAATGAAGCAGTCTTTAAGCGCATCTGTATCATCTGAAAAGCATTGAGAGTTTTTTGAGCTACCATATCCCAATTCAGTGAAAATTTCAGAAATACAGAAGGCAGAGTCATGCTTGAGAATTTGAGATTGGAGTTCAGGCTTCAGATGACGTACGGTTCGAGTATGGATGGATGAATACCTAGAAGTGCAAATGTGCAACTCGCGGCCGGTTCCTGCTGGGCGACGCCGTACAGAGCCGCTGGTAGCGGTGGGTCTGCCTCACCTAACTGTAGGTGGTAGCACTGCGTTTCTAAACCGTCTCAGGCCACCGCGGTCGCATGGCGCCGGCGTAGTAGCCTCCGGTCCTGAATTTCCAGGAGCCTAGGGCGAAACAAAAAAAAATAGGGTCCTTATGTATACATGAACTAGGGAACTCTTTTGGATATTCGAGAAAAAAACAAATGAACGACTTCATAGCCACCATGACGCACAACTTCAGCAAGGAGATGTTGCGATGGAAGTGTTACAAGCACATGTTTCAAGTATTCCAGACGTTTCAGAGGTATGTTGCAATTGTTTCATATGGATGTTGCAATTGTTTCATATGGATGTTACAAAAGTAGATCAGGGATGTTGCACATACTGCAAATGTTTCAGTGGTATGTTATAATTGTTTCATATGGATGTTGCAAAAGTAGATCAGGGATCTTGCACATATTGCAAATGTTTCAAAGGCATGTTACAAGCGTTTCAGATGTGTTGATTAAAATATTTCATTTGTTCCAGACGTATGTTGCAAATGTTCTGATCTGGATGTTGTACATGTTTCACACATATGTTGCAAAAATATGTTCGAAATGTTTTAGCTGTTTTAGTCTTATGTTGCAGTGCATGTTTTCATGGTGGCAAGTTACAAGTGTTTTATCTGATGTTACATATGTATATGTTGCAAGTGTATATTCTAAATGTTTTATCCGTTTTCATACGGATGTTGCATTCAAATGTTTCATGTTGCACGTGTTTCATACTGTTTGTAGAGTTAACAGGTGCAGGGAGTAATGGTGGCACGGCACGGGCGCCGAAGAATGGGCCGCAGCGAGCTGGAGGCCGACGGTCGGGGCGCGACGGGGGCGGGGTGCGCAGGCGGGACGGGGCGGGCGGCTTCGAATTCAAGCGGACAGGACGTGCTGCTGGGACGAGGCGAGTCGTCTGGACGTGTGGGCGTTGCGACAGGGGGGTGCGCATGTGGGGCGGGAATAAAAATTAGCATCAACGCATGGGGCAGGCTGCGCGTGCGTCCTGTCCGGACGTCCGAGCGCTAGCATAGCCGGTTGGGGGTGGTTTAGGGGACTTCGGATATTAGTGCATACCTAATTCATACGAAGCTAGGTACGCCTCGTTGGAGTCTCACTCCGAGTTGGCCGCCCGCCGCGGCGCCGCCGTTGAGTTGGGTGATCGTGTCGCAGTTGCTGCGTTGTGTTCGAGATTTGTGATTTGGTTCCGAGATGAGAAGTCGCAGTCGCAGAGTCGGCAAACAAATCGCGAACGTCAATCTGCTAGCCTGTCGTGGGCCTTAACGAGCCAACCAAGCCATATACTAATACAACTACGTCCTGAGTGTATACCTGAGGTGGGGCCCGTGGGATTGGGGGCCAGGGCGGCCGCCCCGCTTGCCCGCCCTCAGGGCCGGCTGTGCTACAGGGACAGAGGATGTGAGCACAGGGTGCTTGGCGGGAGGAGTCTTTGAGGTCGCCGGCGGCGGCACCACCTCTCCGATCACCGTGTCGGTGTCGACGGCCCGGCATATTTGCACGCAGATCCCTAGGTTGGATTGTGAGTTTGCGACTAATAATCACGATCTGAACATTTTCAGATGCACACTCTGTCTTTCACCCGTCCATTTGATCATCCTACTAGCAGGTACTGCTGTCTGCTGGTGGATTTAATCTTCAGAAATTTAGAAATATTGATCAGATTCTGTAGTTTATAGATGTTTTGTGTTTGAGCTTAATAGAGACTTAAATGCTACGAGACATTCTAGATTTTGTTTTCTGCATTATACCTACTTGTTATGTGAACACTCTGTTATGTGCCTCTGAACAGGTTTAATGTGTTTCCTCTCTGAAATAGACTTGTTTGTATGTATCTATATCTTTTGTAACATAGTTAATTGGTCCAAAATTTAGAGTCTACTAGGTGCATGATAAATGATTAAATGTCATTCTATAATTTTGAAATTACAAACGTGTTGAATTGCAAGTAAGCACTATTCAACCAACTGATGATACCAATGCACTCGACAAAGAAAACGAAAATGAACACGCGTTCATCTGGCCTGATTATTAACAGCACTCCTCGTGCCTCGAAATTCTTTGAACGAATTGCTGGAGGCGGCAGCGCTATCACCGTCGCCGCTGCTGGAGCTGGAGATCATGTGCAGGCTCGCCATGTACGTGAATGGATTCACGGGCCGTGCAATATCCTCCTCGCCTTCCAGCATCCTGACCACGCTGCGCATGGACGGCCTCGCCTCCGGCTGGTACTGCACGCACCACAGCGCCACCTTGCACATCCTCTCCGCCTTGTCCCTGTCCTCGGCATGGATCCCCGACGCCGCCATGACGTCGTCGAACTTCCCCTGGTCGAACCTCTGCCACACCCACTTGGGGTACCACTCCTGGCTCACAGCGGGGTGCTGCAGCTCCAGGTTGCGCCGCCTCCCGAGGATCTCGAACATCAGCATGCCGAAGCTGTAGACGTCGCACTTGTGCGTCACCGGCAGCGGCAGCCACAGCTCCGGCGCGGCGTACCCGGGCGTGCCCCGCGCGCCGGTCATCGTCAGGTGCGTGTTGTCGCGGTTGCAGAGCCTGGCGAGGCCGAAGTCGGCCACCTTCGGTGTGTAGTCCGCGGTGAGCAGCACGTTGCCGGGCTTGATGTCGTAGTGGATGATCCGGTGCTGGCACTCCTCGTGCAGGTACCTCACCCCGCGCGCCGTGCCCACGACGATGCCATACAGCGCGTCGAAGCCGACCGCGTCGCCCAGGTCCGTGTCCCGCCGCTGCTCGTGCTCGAAGAGCACGCGGTCGAGCGAGCCTTTCTCGAGGTACTCGTACACCAGCGCCTTGGTGGTGGCATCGAAGCAGAAGCCGTAGAGGCGGACGAGGTTGATGTGGTAGGTGCGCCCCGCGGTGCCGACCTCCGCCATGAACTGCTCCTCGGCGCGCCGGTCCAGCGTGCTGTTGAGGATCTTGACGGCCACCTGCACGTCGTTCGGGAACGCGCCGCGGTACACCACGCCGAAGCCGCCGGACCCGAGCCGCTCTGCGTAGTTCCGGGTGAACTCGCGGAGGTTCTCCGCCGTGAACCGCGCGGGCTTCTCCCGCAGTATGTCGTCCAGGAACCGGTTCACGGCTCCCATCTCCACGACGTGGTTAGCAATAGCGTAAGGCGGTGTCGGCGAGCCGTTCGCCGCCGGCTGGATTATTGGCGCGCCTGCCGCTGCCTGCTGCATCTCCATGGCCTGCTGCCGCGCGCGCTCCATCTGCCATTCTCGTGTCACCTCGATCCATCTGGTGACAAATTTCAGGGCCAGGATGATGACAATGCCACTAATTATGATCCCAGCTGCATCGTCAGGATTGAAGAGGCTAAAGTTGAGTACGGGTATCACAAATTTGAAGAATTGGAGACAGAGCTGGTAACGCATGTGGCCTACCTAAAGCGAGATTGATCATCAAGTTGCTGTGATACTTTCTGCTTGATTCCTTTCGAGAGAGAAAAAAAAAGGTTTCTGCTTGATTGCCAACTACTACCTGCAATGGAAAACAAAACCCAAAGAACGAGTTCGAGATGTTCTACACTTTGGACCCGTAGGCTTACCTCTCTGGTGTTTGCGCTTGATCTTGATCAGAAATGTAGTTTGGACTGCGGACATGTCCAGTTCACCATGATATTCCCTTGCCGAATTGAAAAACCTTGCACGTCGTAGTCGAAGTGTGAACCGGTTTCTAGCTTGGTCCGTACTCTTACCTATAAGCTATAACCAGATAACAATTATGTAAGAGCAAAGACGTACTGTTTTGATGTTCTGTATCATGAGTAAGCGTTTACCATCCAATCGACTAGAGAGCAGTTGGTGAGGCCCAAGTACATAGAGAAGTCGTATTTGACTACTACGTAGGAAAATGGTGAACGTGGAGTTGTCATACATTAGCCCTCTTTTTTTTTATGACTCGAGGAACCTCCCCATTTCCATTGATTGCAACGGAAATACAGGAAATGAGAGTGTATCAGAAGAAAACAAAAGACAATCCAGAGCTCTTACACGCTTACTTCCTACACCAGAAGCCTATGCCAGGCAACCAAAGATGAGCGACATAGAACTTAGAAAGTATAGACAGCTTTTCATCCTGGGCGTTAGACGGCGCTGCACCTAGCCCTCATTGCGCAGCCAAGCGGGTTCACCGTTGGATGCTCCACATCGGAGGTTCTGCTGGCGGTCATGGCCGCATCAGGGGTGGCGGCGGACGATGTCCGGGTCAAGAAGTTCTACCGGGAGCAATTCATCATCTTGTGCAGTTCACCGGCGATCAAGGACCGGGTGCGGGCGGCATCGCCGGTACCGCTCAACGACACGCCGCTGGTGCTCCTACCGTGGACTCGACTGGCGCACGCAAACCTATCGACGCTACAGTACAAGCTCACCGTCGAGCTTGAGGGGGTGCCGCCGCACGTCTGGCGTGAAGACACCGCAGCCAAGCTCCTCGCGCCGTACTGCTGGATACAGAGCATCGAGCCAATCACGGCCGCCGGCGACGACCTATCCTCGTTCCGCCTCACAGCATGGACGAATAAGCCGAGCTCCCTGCCACAAATCTTATGGCTCAATGTCGCAGAGCACGAGGTCAGATCAGCGGAGACCGGAGGGGTCAGATTCCGCGGGACTCAACCGTTCCTGTGGAAGGACACGCTGCGGTACAGGATCATCGTCCACCTGAGATGCGTTCATGACTACTCGCCGTAGCCGGATTACAGGGGTGATGGATCCTCGTCCGACGACCCAGCCGAGGATGGCAGGAACAGCAGGCATCACCACAGCCACCGCGACTCCGGCACAGAGATCTACCCCTTCCCCTGCCACCGTGGCGAGCCGGACGGCAATGCTCCGGGGACATCAGGCGGCGGCGGGCAGGACAGAAACCGGGACCGCCAGGGCCAGCGCAGCGTGTACCGACACACCAAAGGCTAGGCCCAAACGGGAAGGCTCGTGTACCTGCTCCCCAGCGAATCAGAAGCTACGAACAGCCTCGCCCCGGTCAAAAAAGCAGAAAGCAGTTCCAGGCGCCGTGGCAAGTCTGGTGTCCTAAGCAAGCTAAGAGACAAGAAGCAGCACCAACCCAGCCAGAGATTGCCAAGGCTGAAAACCGCTCTGCTGCCACCAGTATGGGGGGGCACCGGGACAGCTACTCCCTAGCCAGCCCACCTGGTAGAAGATCAGGATGCCCAGGGAGACCAGCTGGCCACCGATGAGCAGCTCCAGGACAAGCAGCCACCAATCACCTAGTTCGCGCCGGAAATACCGGAGGCGGCGGCCGACGACGTCACAACAGAAGCGGACGGCGGGGACCTAACAGCAACGATAGATGAAGCGATAGCGATCCCGCAACCGGTACAGATTCAAATCACAGCCATTTCAGGGGACCCAGTGGTGGACGACGTCGACGATGGTCTGTTGGCAGCCGAAGAAGCAGCCAAGGCAAAGGACGCCGCCACGTCGACACAGGGGGACCGGACACAGGCGGAGGGTGGGCCGGACAAAAGCCCGCTGCCGCCGACCCATGAAGGGAGCACACCTCAGTCCAACGGCCCACCTGCCCATGAGGCCCAGGAGGCTAGTCAGGCCGTAGCAGTTGATGCCGATCGTTCAACAGCCCACCAATCGCCGCCATGGGACGGGACGGTGCCGGATAGGGAATAGGGGGCTATAACGCCACCGGTCAACAGGCCAGCGCACTACACCATCGCCGCCGAAGGACACGGCATCGGCGCAGCGAAGGTTCAAGTCGTTCGCGGTGAAGGTCAAGAGGCCCAAGCCTGCGGCGCTACTAAAGTGCCCATCACCAGTCAAGGCGGCAGAAACGCCCAGGAAAAGGCCGACACGAAGCCGGAGGATCGCGGCGCAGAGTCTGTCGCAGATTTCGGCGTCCAAGCGTGGGGAGTATCTGGTGCTCAAATGCCTTGGACACGCTTCCCCACTCTCCGCATCCACTGCCAGGAACAAATTCGACGCCTTGTTCGAAAACAACCCGGAGGACGACGAGGCGCTCAGGGAACTGTTCCCGGACGATGGCCACATCGGCGGCCGCAGGAGGCGCCGTCGTGCGTGAGCTTAAACAGCTCGCTTCCCGATCGACAACAACAATGGATAACACAACCATTGTGTGTTGGAATGTTCGCGGGCTCAACGATAGTGCCCGGCGGGACAACGTGCACACAATGATGAGAGACGTGCACGCCCATGTTGTTTGTCTAGTTGAGACTAAACTACAATCTGTAAACCAATGGCGAATAGCCTCCATGCTGGGAATGAATTACATTGATTACGCGTATGTGCTAGCGGCTAACACCAGGGGCGGGATAATTGTGGCAGCACGCTCTCCAGATGTCGCACTGCAGGAGCCACACATCGGTTGCTACTCCGCCATGATCAAGGTGTTAACGCATGGCGCAGATCCATGGTGGCTATCCGTAGTCTATGGCCCGCACGATGAAGCCACCAAGGAGCACTTCCTAGGAGGAGCTGGAAGTGATCAGAGACCAATGCCAGGGGCCTTGGGCCATCATTGGGGACTTCAATCTAATACTACAGGATTCTGACAAGAACAACAGTCGCATCAACAGAAGGACGATGCAGCGTTTCAGGCAAACGGTGGCTGCTCTATAGCTGCTAGACATACATCTCCATGGACGGTGGTATACTTGGAGTAATGAAAGGGAGCAGCCAACCATGGTGAGGCTTGATCGCGCCCTAGCATCGCTTGATTGGGAAGAGCGGTTCCCGGACTACCACCTACAGGCTCTCGCATCAGACGCCTCTGATCATTGCCCGCTGCTGCTCCAAACAAGCCTGACAGCCTACACGAAGCCAAGATTCCACTTCGAGATTTTCTAGCCCACCTTCCCAGATTACCAAGATGCACTAAAATGGGGTTGGAGCTGTCCTGACTCGGTGCATGATCCGATTGTAAGGTTGGACATCATGTTCAAGGAGCTGGCCAAGGAACTGCGAAGCTAGGCCGCGCGCAGGATTGGGTTGGTGCGCGAGCAGCTGCTGATGGCCAGAGCGATCATACTGAAACTCGATCAGATCTCTGAAGAGAGAGCACTGTCAGATTCAGAGACGGAGCTGCGTGCCAAGCTCAAACACAAATGCCTTGGCCTATCCTCATTGGACCGAACGATAGCAAGGTAGAGGGCCAGAGTACGCTATTTATCAGACGGAGATGCAAATACCAAATATTTTCACTTGTTGGCAAGAGGTAGAAGAAGGCGGAACATCGTTACCAGGTTGAAGGTAGGTGACACCTTCACATCGGACCACGACACCATGGCCAGCGCAGTACACGACCACTTCATGGCGGTGTTCGGTGTCAGCGACAGTCTGGACGGGGTAGTCGACTTTGAGCAGCTCGGTATCTCGCAGGCTGACCTATCGCACTTGGAGCAGCCACTGACTGAAGAGGAAACCTAGGCTACAATTCGGGCGCTGCCTCCTGACAGAGCACCCGGCCCTGACGGTTTCACGGGAGTGTTCTACAAGTCTGCGTGGCACGTAATCAAGGACCAGGTAGTCGCTGGGATCAATGCGGCGCTGTTTGGAGATGCCAGGGCATTTGGCAGGCTGAACGGTGCTCTAATCATTCTACTGCCGAAGACAGCGGACGCCAATGAGCCGTCCCAATTCAGGCCGATAACAATGATACACAGCTTGGCAAAATTGGTGTCCAAGATTCTTGCTCTCAGGCTAGCGCCCAGGATGAATGACCTGATCTCACCCAATCATAATGCCTTCATCCGAGGAAGGTCCATACACGACAATTTCAAGTACGCGCAGTGGGCGGCAGTGCTACTGCGCAAGAAAAAGATACCCAAGATCCTTCTCAAACTGGACATGGCAAAGGCCTTCGACACTGTCGAGTGGCCATTTATGCTTGCTATGCTCGTGATGGGGTTTGGCCCGTGCTGGAGGCGTTGGATAACCACTCTACTTTCGTCGGCAACCTCCAACATCCTGCTAAACGGTCAGCCAGGGAAGCCGATCAGACATCGACGGGGGGTGCGGCAAGGTGACTCACTATCGCCATTGCTATTCATCATAGCCATGGAAGTGCTCGGAAGATTGTTCAGCACGGCGAGAGAGCAGGGGGTACTACACAGTATGAGCATGGATGGAATCAAGTTCCAATGCAGCATCTATGCCGATGATGTCATACTGTTCGCGCACCCGGACGCCAACGAGGCCCTGGCCATCAAGGGGATTCTACAAATCTTCGCGGACACCTCAGGGCTAAAGACCAACATGGCCAAAGGCTCGATTACCAACATACATGGGGCAGAGGACGCCATCGAACATGTCCGGCAGGTGCTTGGCTAGCCAAGTGACGCCTTTCCCCATCCGCTATCTCGGGCTGCCCCTAAGCACAACCAAGCTGCCCAAAGAACACGTCCGGAAGACAGTGGACGCCGTCGCGCGGAGACTGCCTGCATGCCACGACCCCCTCATGGCTAGAAGTGGGAGGCTGATATGGGTAAAATCGGTGCTGACCGCAATCCCCGTCTACTGCATGATAGCTGATGGTCTGCCTCCATGGGCACGGGCAGAGATCGACTCAATCTATAGACGATTCCTATGGACTGGAAGTAACGGCGATGTCAGGGGGAAATGCATGGTGGCCTGGAAGACGTGCACACGGCCAAAAAAGCTTGGGGCTGGGAATCACAGACCTGAAACTTCAGGCAACGACATTCGAAGAAAAGTGGCTGTGGCTTCAGAAGACTGACGCCGATAGAGCTTGGACATCGCTGCCACTGCAGCAATCTAATGAAGTGAGGTCCTTCTTCCAAGCATCAACTTACACAATCATCGGCAATGGTCGGAATACTCTGTTCTGGCAAGACAGCTGGGTTCATGGGGTGTAAATCAGAGCAATGGCGCCCACCTTGATGCACTTTGTCCCCAAACGAGTCATCTGCAGGCTAACGGTGGCGGAACCACTCACGGACAGGCATTGGGTGCGCACCATATCCGGCGGAGTAACTGCCCCAGCAGCCGCGGAATACTTGCAGGTCTAGCACGCGATTGAGGACATCGTCCTCACGGATGCATCGGACCGCCTCGTCTGGCGATGGGAGTCTAACGGAAGCTTCTCGGTCCGATCGTCTTATCAGGCATTACATCTCGGTTCTCACCCCATTTCGGGCTGTGTCAGGATTTAGGAGGTGTGGGAGCTGCTCAAGGTCAAGCTATTTCTCTGGCTGGTGGTTCGCCGCCGATAGTGGACAACAGACAGACGACGGAAGCATGGGCTCGATGCACACGACACCTGCTTCCTGTGCGATCAAGAACCGGAAACCATTGATCACATCATCGTTGAATGTTCCTTCGCCAGGCAGTTGTGGTTCGAGGCAGCCACGACGCTTGGGGCAACTCTGACCGAGCAACCAGCCAGTGCCATTGTCGACTGGTGGAAGACCTGGAGAGCTCTTTGGCCAGCGTCATTTGCAAGAGGCGCAGACTCTATGTTCGCGCTAATCGCTTGGGAAATCTGGAAAGAACGTAATGCGCGTTGTTTCCGCGGAGCAGCCACACAGATTCCGGTGATCAAGGCAACCATCAAACTTCAGGCAGAGCTATGGGTCCAGGCCGGTGCGAAGCACCTAGGTTGTTTAATTCAGCGAGTAATAGGTTAGAGAAGAAGCTGAGCAGGGTGGGTGCGCTCAGTGTTAATCTTGTAAACCACCCGA